ATATTAAAAAAAAGGTAAAATCATTGAAGTATAACGAAGTAAACGAAAGTATATGTGCTTCTGTTTTTCGTTGTATAGCACATAAATGATCAAATAGATGACTCAGCCTACCTGTTTCCTTTTATGATGAATATGACTCTTGCATATCGACAAATCTATGATATTCTCATAAAATATACCAAGCAATTATACTGTATGAAATTGTAAAATGACGGCAATCAGTTAGATCCTAGTTTAAAATGCGTTTAAAAATTTTTAAATAAAAACAGAGCATGTGTTATTTTTGATAAATATAACATTTTCATACTGACGACTATGTTCCTTTTTTTTCCTATAAAATAGAAATGCTTAGTGAACGACTACTACTCTAAGCTTCTTTTGTATTATAATTAAGATCTGATTCACGTAAGGCTACAGATTTTCTAAAAAGTGCTATAGTTAAAAATTGTCGGTATAGTCAAAGACCATAAGAATAGCTACAGATAGTTTTTCAGAAGGTATAGATCCACTGAGTCCTGTATGAATTTTATTCTATCAAATAAATTGACGAGTTTTTAAAAACATCTATTATATACTTGCTTCCATATAGATCTGTGACACTTGTTGAATCTTGATATGAACATAAAAGAGTTTGTCAGATTTAAGGAATAGGCAGAAGTCTAATCCGAGATATGCAGAAGGACTCTTTTTAAGATAATCAAAGATATTTAAAAGATTTTAAGAAAAATATTAAAGTGTCAACTATAAAATAGTAACTTGTGATACTGTTTACGAGATTAGCTGAGATCCTTTTTTTCTGAGCAAAATAGAAGTCGATATCATATCATTCTGTATTAAGTTTTGATATTGAGTTCAATAAATTGTTAAATAAGTTAAGATAAATATCATTCAATTTTACATGATGTCTCATTTCTATTAAATTAATAAAAATGGAAATAATTTCGTTTTTGAATTGTTTACAATCACTTAATAGAAAGAAATCTAGAATAATTATATTACAACAGCTTCGATTTTGATTCCGTAATTCTTAAATAGCTATCTTTATTTATAACATATTCATATAAAATCGTTTAGCTTGTGAAAAACGAGTCCGCTTATCTACCGAGTGAAAAACTAAATATATCAGCTGTGCAACAATTGCATAATAAGAAGTAAATGCAGAATTTATTTGGTTCAATGTATTATTTTTATTTTTTCCAAATGAAACGAAGTAAAGTGCAATTGCACAAGAAAATGACAGCCTTGAAGTAAAGTTTCTATTCTGAATGAATCGCTATAACACGACGGATATATGTTCTTGATGGTAGAAAAATATTATATAAAATCAATTGATAAATGTTCAGGTATTCATGTTATAATACTTATATCTAGAAGTGTAAGTCATATAGATTAGCCCTCGATGCTAATCAACTGATTAATTTATAACTCAATTCTTAATGATTTTTAATAAAGTGGATATATGGTGTAGTAGAAAATTCTGACAGAATCTTTCGAGATTTAAACGTTTTATCAGATTCTTCTCTGACTTTCGAATAATTTTACACTGAATTAACAAAGATTTTTCCTATAGTTATGCTCCTGTTAAATTTCTGAGAGTTCTTAGTTCAATTACTGAACTTTTCATCACTAATTTGATTATAGTATGAGGGTGAGAATGATCGTTGGTAGGTATTGCATATATAACCCTCACACTCAATAAATGAGCAACATTTATTATCGTCTCTACAGATACTGTACTTTTTTTCTCTCGTTTATTTTCGATATTTCTCATAAATATATATCAAAATATTAGTTTTCTGTATTTACATAGGGGTGTCAAAAAGTTCTCGTAACAGCAGCCTAAAATTTCACCCTCATTGATTTTATTCTTCATGCTGGCCTATTCTGGTAGTGACATCTGTTATACATTAAAACACCAATACAAAGTTTCATAAGTGTCTATCACGGCAAATTCTTAACGAATTTTTTGAACACCTCTGTTTTCAGATGAATAAACTGTGTATACACTCGTATATAAAAACTCGTTTATTATTAGGCTTAACAGTTACACAAATTCATAATGAATTAGCTGCTGTTTATGGGCCAGATATAGTTTCATATAGTACAGTTACTCGGTAGATTCAACGATTTTTAAATGAGCGAGAGTACTTGGAAGATAATCCTCGAAGTGGTCGTCCGTTATCCGCCATCATTCAACAGAATATTGATGGAGCTAAAGATCTGGTGAATGATGATCCACATATTATTATTGATTATGTTGCTGCCATCTTAGATACAGTTATCACATCACTTATTGTAGTGGTTACTCGAAGATATTAGTAAAAAATTTACATAAGAAAAAATCATCATCAACAGAAGATAGCATAAATTTGCATTAAAAAAATGCAGTAGTACGCATGGAAAATATTGTCCTCCATTTTAATTATCTTCAAGAAGAAAAAATCAAAGTTATGGCTCATCCACCATATTCACCTGACCTTGCACCTTCAGATTTTTGGTTGTTCAATTATCTGAAACGTGCCCTTTATACATGCCCAGATGCAACAAGTCTAGCCAAAATGTTATCCAGGAAGCTTCATTCAATACTTATTCACGAATACCAAAAGACATTCCAGAAATGGATTGAAAGGATGAAACTCTGTATAGAACATCACGAGGACTACTTCGAACATTTACTATAAAGAGATCAGCAAAATGTTTTCTCTATGGATAAATATTTGAAAGTCCGAGAACTTATTGACTGACCTATGTACCATGTTCTACTTTGTTGATTTATGAAACAAATTCGAGATATCAGTTATATTCTAAACTAAGTTATATTTTTATTTTTCATATTATAGATGCGACGTTTAAAGCTTCACGGGACAAATTTCTTAATGCGATCTTATTATATTTCGATCCAGCAGAACTGTCGACAGGTCATCAGGCCATCTAATATTTGTAATTTTCCAGTAGATTAGATTTTTCGGATCTATAACTTGAATCTCTTTCAAAAACAACAAGCTATTCCTACAGACCACACCAGCTCATTATAGATTATCATCGACCACATCATACAGATCTATCTTTTCTTTATATATTTATCCGACTATTAGAATACGCTAATGATTTCAGACGAACAAGCGAATGACAAAATATTTGCACTTGTCTTCCGAATAGATATGCAAACGAATATATTTTGATAAAATACATTTACTGTCTATGGTCTTTGTTATTTATATACATATATATTTTATTATAATTATTTTCTTCTTCAAAAGGGTGTAATTTTTGTAAAAAAAACTCTTGATTTTAGTATTCTTTCCATTCATATTCATTACTACTTAGCAAAAGCAAATCAAATCGAGAATTATCATCAGCTTGAACGAGTTGATTAATTTTTTGAGGCATGATAAAATATCATCAAAAACAGTTCGTCAGTCTTAAATAGACTATCAGATGTAGTTTTTAATGTTAATTATTGTAACGAAAAATGACTAAGAGAAAAGACTGCAGAGATGGTGGTGATGATGATGATGCATCAACTGTGTGGCTGTAGCTTTATGAAAGATATAAGATAGAAATGCAACCTACACTCACCATATACGGTAAAAGTATATGTACTAATCTAACAAGGATACATCGTGTATATCGATAAAGGAGTCATAACAGAATAATAAAATAAGGCCACTATCAAAGGACATATAGAAGAGACAGACTGTAAGGTTACGAAGCAAAGGATAGACTACTATAAGGACATATACAAACAAAAGGAATAGAATATAAAGAATACGCATCAAAAGAATGAAGGACAGATGCTAATATCCGCACAATTATGAATCTGACGTTGATTTCCTACGAAAGTAACTTTTTAAAATATGAAATCGAATTCTAAACGTTCTGAAAATGTTACTTTGGATTTTTGTAGATAAAAGGCAATTCTTGGACAATTTCAAATTCCAAACTTATTGCTCAGAATATAAGCTTTTACGAGGACCCATCGGTATCCATACTAGGATAAAAAACTTAACAGTACCGACAGGTCTAATATTCGAAGAAAATGAAATCATTCTGGACATGTTAAGTTTCTTAAAATTGATCAAGATATAAATATTACAGCATTAATTTTGAACTATCTAGTCTCTCGTATGCGAACTGGTTCATTTTCTACTTTTTATGACGTTTTGAGCTAACAAAAGGTGTTAACTATGTGATTTTGATATGACGAAGAAATAATTTTTTTATTTAAAAAGGTAATTTTCGTATACTACGCGTTCTGTTACCAATTTATGTTCGAATAAGATGTGTCTCTTTATTTGAGAATTATTTTCGAAACAGTAACCGGCAAAATATATCTCCACTGAAAATCATAACGTGAATTATGGTAGATAATCATCGTGTTAAAATGAATTAATTTTATCTACACTAGGATATCAAACACTTTGTTTCGTATTATCTCGAATACACAGCTTTTATATTCACTAATGGATTTGAATAGATTATTTATGTTGAATAGACAAAATCAAACAAAAATTCATACTCTGAATATCTCTTATTTTTAAATCAATAAAATATGTTTGGATGAAACATGAACCAACACAATATAATGGTAATTTAATATCTCTCTTTTTAATTATTTCGAATATTCTCTACCGAAATTCAAGATTCTTCTAATTTACTTTATAAAAAAATATTCATAGCAATTTGATTGCAATAATACAACATACAAAAAAACGATACAAAATATTGTTTACTAGCTTTCTATATTTTCCTATAATAAGATAAGATCAACGGTTGATTATTTATTTGATATTTATCAGCATTGTTCATAACTTCATCAACTTGTTTAGTATTTGTAAAAGATAAAAATGCGTATCTAAATCATAAAGAAAATTTAATAATTAAAATATCTTAAATAAAAATTTTACCCAAATAAAATTTTAGGATTTGAATTTGATTTTTGAACAATTTTTGTTGGAATATATTTTATTTGATTAGAATTCGAAAATAAATTTTTTAAATCATTTTCCAGGTATTTGTTTGATAACAATATTCCACTTTTCATTAAGTTTATTTTCATTTGAAAGTTCCGAAAGATTTTTAACAAATTCTATTTGACAATTTGATCCAAATGTCGAAGATTTAATTGCTCGTTTTCGATTATATTCAACTTGAAGATTTATACGATGAGATATAAATACGTAATTAAGATGTGGTGGTAATTGACTTTGTTTTAAAATAATTTTTGTTGAACCAATAAAATAATTTCGAAGATCATTTTTATTATTTTTTAGATAAATTTGTTCATTTATTGATTGATCATTAGATGATGATGGTGTGTCAATCATATTCAATATTTCTTCATAATTTGAAGATTCACATTGATTAGTATTCATAAACATAATTCATTAAAATCTATTTGATTATTAAATTGTGAAAATTTCATTGATTCATCACAAATATTTGTTACGAAATCTTCTCTAAACAATTCAATTTATTTATTTGCATCAATCGTTCAAATAGAAACTTACTCATTAATATTATCAAGAAATGATAAATCTTTATCTAATTTAGCATCTTCATCTAAATAAATATAAAATTAAAAGAAATCCTTGTAAATAAAAATAAAATACTTTGATGAGTATTGAGTTGAAGATATTTCTGAATATTTTCATAATTACATAAATTGAAATCAATTGATTTGTCCTTATATAAATTTGAAGATAATTTACGATGACATAAAGAAATATTTTTATTATGTTGATCATAAAAGCAAGATGGTAAAGCAAAATCAATTGATTCACATAGAATTTCATCTTGAGTAAAACTTTGTGAAAGAATTCCAGATGATAATATAAGAATTTCATTTGGATTCTGAATGACTTTTTTATATTTTATATTATATTTGTTAAATAATAATCGATCAATTAAAATTTCATCATGTTGAAAACATATTGATGGATTATATACTAATAACGAAGTCCACCTTCATGATGATCATTCAATTGATAAAGATTTTGTTTATTAGAAGATAAAGAAAATATCGCAGCAGGTCCATGTGCTTTAATTAATGTTGATGAATATTTATTACAAAACTGATTTCAAAAGTAATTGATGAAAATCAAATTGATCACGATGAACACGTTTTAAAAATAATGATCAATCATTAATTATTGAAATACTTGAGATATCTTGTGTATTTGGACCATTTGGACGCTAGAACAGAATGTCGCAAGACAAAACGTCGCAGGACAAAATGTCGCAACGAGAGACTTTCTCAGTAGAATAACGATGAAAGGTATATTCTGATAAAAAAGGACTTCTAATCAGTAGATGATATTATAGATACATTATTATCCCGTATGTATGGTAGTTGTGGTTGTTTACAACAGGCGATCCGACTATCAAATCCTATCGGAGTTTTTAAATATGTTGACGGGCTATCTAAAGTTAATAGAACCCGTAACAAAAGATTTTTGAGTCTCGTAAGATTGTCGATAAGACCAGGATTCTAACAAATCCCACATGGAAGCGTTTAACCTGGCGGCAAGCTTGAACATAGGCGAAGGGGAGGACAAGATGCGAGGACGAACATGAATGTAACATAGATTTACATGCGACTGCCATCATGAGTCTATATGATCTTTAGTGACATCCTCACCCTCACCTAAAGTCTTACACTCATTATTACCGAAGCCTACACCCTGTGGTGCGAAAGCCTATCGTTGCGACGTTTTGTCCGCGCGACGTTTTGTCCGATCACCACCATTTGGTAATAATAACCAAAACATTTCATCATTTATTAAAATATTTTCTTTTAAAATTTCTTTATTTTCATTTGCTTTTTTATTGAATAAATTAAATTCTCATTATCAATTTGTTTAACTTGTTGAATTGTTGAACATGACGAAACATTTATTGGTAATTTTTTAATAGATTTTTCAAATTTGATGTTGAAATTAATTTTATTGCACCACCTTCTTTTAATAATGATTCATTCTTATAAAGATATTTAATAAATCTTTCATTGATATTGTTGGAATATTAGATGATTCAGTAGACATTTTTTTATTTAAAATCAATAGAAAAACAAATCTTTCTTTTTCTTACTTTGTAATTATGAATAATGAAATGTATTCATTGTATAACGTTTTTTGTCCTTTCAGTATTCTATATAGGTAGACAACATAGACAGAAGCAGCTCAGCCGTAAACGGAGGTTTTACTCAGACGGGTAATATCTCAAACTACGACAGTATCAAAAACACATACTACCGTGTGTAGGTGTATACAGACTCCATATTCTTCGTTCTGAGAAGTCAGAACAAAGGTCATGTGACGTTTTTTATTCGAATAGAATAGATTAAAATAGTTCAATTAAACATTTTATCAATTTTTTAATAGAAAAATCAAAAAAACTAATGACTAGATTCAAGATTATTAAAATGACAAACCTTCGGTTGAAATAAACTCACTAATATACGAATTTAGAATTTATAAAAACTATCATTTTTTTCTAAAAAGACATTTTCGATGATTAACGTTACTTAATTATTCATTAAACTACATTTTTATTTGTTCATCTGATGACGTCAAAAAGATAATTTCGCTTTTTTTTTTTATTTTGATCGAGAATATTGAATAAATTTTTCTTTTTTCTCATATATCTTATACGAACAAAAACGAAATAATAGAAGAAAAAAAGACATACTTCTTTTATCTTCATAATATTTGTTTGGTTTTGTTACTTTGAATAAGAAAATATTCATATCATGTAAATTCCTCTAATTTATCATAAACGTCAAGATTTAAATGTAAAAAGAAACTAAAAATATTTCATTTAAAAAGTGACTGAAGATGCATATGTAAATACAAATTAATGATCACAATTATTTTATGGATAAAAGTCTTTTAATAGATTTTATTTTATTTAAAAATGAAAATTTTTAGATGAATAACTGATTTATTTAAAAAACATATAAAAAAACGAACAATTAAATTAAATTCATTAAAAGTAACAAAAATAACAATTCAATGGAAATTTTGTTTTTTTAAGATTTTTACTTTTAATTAAAGGAAATTTTTCTGCTTTTTTTTGTTTTATCTTGGAAAATGTTTAATTAAAAAAAAAGAAATTTTAAATATACGTCAACCATGTTCATAAATATTATTATGCAAAGCATGGCTTTATGCTATTACAATGTTTTTTCTTTTCTTTTTTTATCAAGTTTTCTATATAATGCAGTAATTTGATTTTTTCTCTTATTTTTTTCATGTAAACGTTTTTTATTTATTTAAAAGCGTATTATCATTTATTAAAATTATCATTACAAATGCGTATTGTTTATGAAGGTTTTCTTTTCTGCTCTCTTCATTTTTCTTCGTTCTCTTTTACCTTTGAATAAAATAGTAAATCAAATCTCGCGTCTACCCCAATAATGATTCAAGTTGCTTTTTCGTTCTCTAATGTACAGTATAGAATAATGTGAGAGGTAACAGAACGAAATATCCACATGTTTGTCTCGTATTCGTATCTCTTCATCTCTCTCGTGTAAAACCAATCAAAATTTTTTTTATAGTTAACATGTCGCTAGAAGAAGCCAATAGAGAAGACAACGCTAACTCATTGAATGAAATGAATCCTTCAAATTCGCAAGTTCTCTCAAAGAAAAGTGGCTGACAATAAATTGAACCGTGAATAACTATATAACATATAGGGAAAACTATGCAATAGACAACAATGAATAAGTACAAACTCGCTGATCACAAGCTCAAAGAAATAGAAGGATCTGTGTATAAAATTCGAAGACGCTGCACTGGTTGCCAGGCTTCGTAGCGATCTCTCCCAGCGATATAGGAAAATATAGGATTGTAAAAGCAGCATTTATATAGGATTTTCATAATAATATAGGAAATATATAGGAATTCTTTTCTTTAGTAATAAGCTTTTATTAGACTCATGTCAAACGTTATCGTGCCCATAACATCATAACTAGCTATCTCACTCGTAGTTGCCAAAAAATCGAGAACAAATATACACTTTTTAATTACTAGAAAAGATATTCAAAAAGTTCGATTTGAAAGTAATTAAAAGAAAATATGGTCTCTATTAAATTTATTAACAAATATTCACTAGGGTGTGGGCATGGGTTGGTGTTAGTATGAATATTTCTCCACCCACGCCAAACTACGCTAGATTGAATTTAGTGTCCTTTGATATAAAGTTATATCTTCAAATAAATGTAACTTAAGATAGAATTAATTCAAAAAACAATTTTATACTATTCGTGAATATAAGTATAATTTATAAGTGAAATTTTACACTAAGTTCATTAGAAAGATTATAAAATTAGTCATTTTCTATAAAACAATTCGAAACAAAATAACGATTCTTTTCAACGGTGAGTGTATCGATAAATTATAAAATAGTGATATACTATCGCCAGTAGTCATTCGTTTTATTTCAAAACCTATAATAACATATGTACAAAAGTTCTGACTTGTTGCTGATCGAAACAACATATATTTCATTTAAAAAAAATTAGGTTTCTTCTAAATATAGGAAATATAGGAAATATAGGAAATATAGGAAAAATGCATGAAAAATAGGAATTTATAGGAGCATTTTTAAATATATAGGAAATATAGGAAATATAGGAGGACTACGAAGCCTGCTGGTTGCTATGAAACAAACAAGAATCAAGGGCAAACGAGTCATGTGGTGGCAAAGAAATTAAAAACTTTCTAACCTGACTTTGATAAATCTTTTCGCCTTTAATATTTTAACAAGAAATATCATATGATGAAATAAAAGACTCAAGAAATACCCAATACAGAGCAGATGACACATTAGATATAATCTATTGTCTAAGAAAAAAATAAAAGTGCTTTTATATACAGTTCGAATTTGTTAAAAAATTTCTATTTTGAATTGTAAGATAATATAGGATTTTGATTAAAATATGTTATATATAATGAATTAATTCTAAATTTTTTATTTAAAATAAAAGAGAAAATGGATTAAAACTAATTTATTCATTTAATTGAGTTTTTTTCATGAATTTACAAATAAAAAAAATCGAATATTGTTGTAAAAATATTTTCAATGAAAATTTTCAAAATGAAGAAAAAAACAATTTATTAAAAACTTACATAGTTTATTGAAGATATTTCTAATATATATTTTGTTCATTATTTGAAGAATTGTCATAATCATAAAGAATATAATTAAATCATTTCAGTTTCTCCACGAAAATATAAAGAGAACATTATTGAAAAAGTTTCTCTTTCACGTTAAATATAACATTGAACAAAATTTTCTACAACAAAATTCAATTAATTTTTCTCGAAGAAATAAAATAATATAAAAAAAAAAAGTTGAACATTTTTTAAAACAGAATCACTCAACCGTTTCCACGTGTTTTATTTGCGATGAAAAAGCGACGTTTGTTCACTACGAACATGTATACATGTTCGTGTCCAACAACGTGAATATTGAATAAGGATTATTACGATCGCACTCTCATACACACGTAATTACAATGAAAATATAATAGTTGAATGTAGTTAGAATGAAAAATAAATTAGATTTTGTTAAAATTCTGTCACATATTCATTGTCGATTGATGCTGATATTGTGAGAGAAACAATGTCAGATTGATATCATTCATTTCTCTCTTTATTTCAAAATGTTATTATTGAAGAAATAAAATTATTTAAATGGTTACTCGAACACGTCTCCATCAAAATAATCTCATATGATTTTGATTATTTCAAAAAAAAATAATATCATTGCAGTTCTTTCATTATATTTTTACAAATTAATAAAAAAAGATTTTAACGATATGAAACTGATTAGTTGAAGCTATTCATAAGAGAAAGCATGTTTCTAATCTTGGTTAAAAATAATTCTACGAGCGTCATTATTGTTTAGACAAAAAACATTGGCATTAAATAATGAGTTTATTTGTATTAATAAAATTTCTCAATATGTTTATGTTACTAAAATATTTTAACATAGGATATTATGTGATTAAAAACTTCTGAGCCTCAATCATCACCATATAAAATTGTCTAATCGATTTTATTTGTCATTCTTTCTCTATGACTAAATTTTTATTATATATTATTATTGTAAAAAGGGGGTGGTCGAAAATCGTCAATTTTAATGCACTCTAGAAATGTCATAATACGAAAGTCCTTGGCACCCAGATCATGAATCTGACATCCGTTTGTCTTACTATGTTTTTTTACTTAGACGATAGCGTCGTCATTTCGCAATAGAATTCAAAACTTCTTTTTACGAAAATGTTCAGCGAAAAAAACTCTACAAAGTTTGAGTGAAAAGAAAATTTTCTGAATACTTATCTGTTTGTGTTTGAAACCTCGCGGAACTACCCTACTGAGACTCACGTACCCCACTATGGCAAACACGGCAAGAAAGGGATCAGATCTAGACAAACGGATGTCGGATTCGTGATCTGGGTGACAAGGACTTTCCTATTATGACATTTCTAGAGTGCGTTAAAAATAATGGTTTTTCGACCACCCTTTTACATTGAGAAAATATAAGAATATATGTCTGATATACAATCGACAATTTCCATTTTTCTAATTTATTTTCAAATCTAT